AGGGCAAAAGCAGCCTAGATAGATTGCAAGTGAATGTGTGACTGTGTTTCAATAAAACTTTAACAAAAACAGGCAGTAGGCTGGATTTGGCCCATTGGCCATGGTTTGCCAATCCCTGCCCTAGAGGATCACATTCTAAACTTAACACTTCATCAGGATTTTTGACTATAAGTACCTTAGGTGAAATTTAATGCCACAAGTGCTCACAAAAAATATAGCACATAAGTTACTGAGATGTTTACCCTAATCAGAACATCAGAAAAGGTCATGACTCTATTTTAATAACAAATGCTTCAATCTGGAAAGAGATCAGTTTTCCCAGGAAAATCTGCCTCTATTGTGGAGTGGGTGGGTGATTTGCTCTTGGAAGTGAGGGGAACAGAAAGCAATCTTTTCTGAGTTTCTTCTGTGGGCTGGGGTCTGTGAAAGCACTTTTGCACAGGAAGCTCATTTAATTCTCACCCCAGATTTGGAAGGTGGATAATACTTTTCTCCTTTTTATAGATGGGGAAATTGAAAATCAGAGAGAGAATGTAACTTGCCCAAGGACACTGCAGGAAGTGGGTTGGACTAGTTCCAAACCCAGGACTTCTTGACTCCAAAGCCACATTCTCTCCAATTTTCAAGACTTTTTAATTCCTCAAAGTGCTATGTGTTTTGATGTGTACATGAGAACTGTTGTTTGACTTTAGCATATCGCTATTTACTTTCTTAATAAAATGTGTGCCAATACTTATAATTCTTTATGTATTCTCTCGTACACATTTATCCCTGATAAAGCCTATTATCATATCGATGAGCATCACTAAGGAACATTCACGAAGTATGGCAGGAATGAATACATAGAAACGAGTGTAGATGTTTACTTTTAAATCAAAACTAGAGAAAGAGATTCTGAGGCAAGGTCAGAATAAATATGACACCACATAATTTTCAACTAATACAGAATCATCAAGAATCTCAGGAAAATGTTAAAATCTCACTTCAATTTACACCCAAAGAGTAAGACTTGGAATGTCATGGTATTTTGTCATTTCTAATAAGAAGTGAGTTACATTTTAAAAAGACACATATATGTCATTGGACTCTTCTGTTAAGAGACCTATGAAAACAAAACAAAATAAAACCTCCAACAGTGAGCAACCTGTTTGACTTGGTAAAATGTAACTCAAACGGTTCGCTATTCCCGAGTTTCTTTCAACAACCCCCTTGGTGACCTTTATGCTGCAATAGGCATAGGTATTTCGGTCATCTTTTGAGTCTCTTGTCCTAGTAATTCACTCTTGGGTATCAAAGTAAAACTGCAAACCAAACCTTACTATTTTCCGGAGACTTCTCTCTAATCGCAGTTTTAGTGGTTTTGATGTTTAAATCTGTGCCTTTCCTATACGCTAAGCTTAACCTCCCAAACTTCCTTTTACAGAGGGAGCCTCAGGAGGGGGTGGGTGGGGTGGCGAATCCCTTGCCAGAACAGAGGTATCTGCCCTTCGTTCTGGCAATGCCTTGACACTCAGCAGGGACTGAGTTCTCACCCTGTCGAGCGAGGCCAAGACAACTTGCCATCAAGCCACCTGCAACGCACTGCAACTTGCCGTGTGCATTTGGGGGCTACTGGCCAAGGCAGGCCCCAGAGCCTTCTCACACCACGCTGCTGCGGTGCCTCCCTGGCTTCCACAGGAACACTTCTTTCAAATCTGCGCCGAGCAAGATGCATTTAACTGACCCCATTCCTTTTAACAACCGAGCATGACAGTTTTTAATAGCCTTGCAGTCACGGCACACGGCTGCCACCGCTCTGCCTCATTACTCACTGTTTCGGGATGGTGCTTGAATACAGTATGCACATTTTAGTCATGTCATGCCTGGGAATTCAACCATCCTTTTGTCCTAGCTCACCTTCCTGTTTTATCTTATTTAGCATTTTTAGCTTATGTCTTGTTTTGATATTTGTCTTATTTAATTGGGTTACCCAGTTCTGGCTGGTGCCCTGTTCTGCAGGCTGAAAATGCAGAATTCTTCTCCGTGTGCTATTGGCTATAGCACCTGCTACGGTGACAGCTTCACTTGGGAAAGGCAGCAATGTGTGTGACCGTGTCCCCTTTGAATAAGGACATATTTTCAGGAAATGTAATGGGATGTAAATGTTTTCCAGTGGCTTGCAGCAGGGAAAAATGATGGCTTCTTGGAATAGGAGGGTGTGGAATGAGCCCAGTGAGCTCATTCCTGGGATGGGGTCCCTGCCGGACTCCAGGTGACAGAAACAAAGTCTCCTGGATAAATGGGCCAAGTGGAGAATGCTGCTCCCTTGGAAGCAGCTCTCTGTTAAGAGGCAGAAGAAAGAAGGAGAGAAAGAGGAAAATGGACCCCCATTATGTCTCTATAATCACTAAAAAGACAATTAAGAGGGATATGCCAATTCTGGGCACCCCGAAAAGACGGCTTTTTCAGCCTGTGTGCTCTGATGTGAGCTGCTTTACAAAAAAGCAAACGTGACTCCCAAGTGTTCTGCTCAGAGTCGTGGAAACAGCCACGAGCACTTTAAACACAACAATGGGGCGTGGGGATGTTTGCCTGTAATGATTGTTTATGTTGGAAAGTTGGCTGCCACCGTGGTTAGACAAATGCTCCTACTTCCGTGGAGATAAAAGGCAAGCATTTGCAATCAGTGAGGAGAGTGTGTTCGTTCTGGGGCTAAATGGCATTATAAAACTTCCTAATTAAGCATATATGCCGATGAGTTTTTAGCATCATTTCTCCAATTTAGCAGCGCATACTGGGTGCGCTGTTTAGTGCGGCATTAACTATAAACATTGTTGTTACTGCCCCCAGCTGGAAAACAGAGCAGTTTATGTGTGGAAGAAAAAAGAGATTATTTCCCATCTGCTCCTGCCCATTATTCAGGGATGTGTCATTTTGTCTGCTGATGGGAACCAGCACGAGGATTTTAGTTAAATGGCCTTTTTATACGTGGCTACGTTTATCAATTATTGTGTTTACTTGGTGTTTTGTGCCTATCCTTAATCCTACAAATTAAGTAATTTGATTTCCTAAGAGTTTGTCTTTTTGCAAAATTAGATGAACTTATATGAGTAATTTTTATGATACAAAGATGTACAACTGTAATTAGACATACTTGATGCCTATTTTTAATTGTATATCAACTTCACACATATATATCTGGTTAATATGCCTGAGGTTAGGAGACATACAATTAAAAAAGGATGAGCATGGTGTGATTCAATTTATATAAAGTACAAAACCAGCCAAAGCTAATTAATGTGGATAGACTCAGGGTCAGTGTTTACCCTTGGGGTGAAGTGACCCCTCCTGGAAGGGCCTGAGGGGGGTGCCTCGTGGGGTGCTAGGAATGTTCTGTGCCTGACCGGGGTGCTGCTTTACAGGGGCGTGTTTGGTTTGTGAAATGTCATTGAGCAGCACATTCATGATACGTGTGCTCTTCTGGAAGTATATATTCTTTCAGTAAAAAGTAAAAGATGGATGAATCTTCCTCCATGTTAAAACATCAAAAGCAGAGTCGGCACAAAGGCAAATTATGATTCATTCACTGTCCCCCCTCCACAAAAAGGTAAAAAATAAAGTTCTTTCTACATCCATAAAGCTAATTACTTAGGTAAATAAAAAGGTTGACGTGCAACTCCTACATGCATATCAAGGGAGAAGATACAAATAGCCTTCTCTGTAAAAATGACTTTAAAACATTTTATAGAGGTTTGGGTGTTTTCTTGTTTGAAACGTTTGGAAATTATCATGATCTTAGTATAACTGCATCTGGATCGTTTGTCAAGGTGTGCCCTTTTCTGCTTTTTTGTGGCCTTTGTTTAGAGTGTCTAGTTACAGAAAAATAATTAGGAGTAATAATTGGGTGCTAAAATTATATATATGAAATATATATACATATACATTACATATATATATATTTTTTTCTTTTTTGTAAAACTTAGCAGTCTCATCCATGAAACAATGTCAGGCAGCCACTATATTACTACAGACGGGTTCCATAATTTGGAGAAAACAAATGCCAAAACCAGTGGAATTTTTTTTTTTTTTTTTTTTTTGGCAAATGCTGAGACGCGGAGCTTTACCTGGAGATCATTTCAGAAACATTAAGATGGAGAAAACAAGCTCCCTAGGACTTCTCAGAGTTCATTTCTCAAACCATCAAAAACCATCTTGCTTGTGGATAACTTAAAGAGACACAAACAATGCCCCTTGAAGGAAATGCCAGGACAGTTGACTGGAATAGAAAATGATTGGAATAGAATTCTTAACCCAGTTAGAAAAAAATCGATACCTCCCATAGTCCCTTTTGCTTGAGCAGATAAGCCAGCTAAGTAATCTGACAGTTACATAATATTGAAAAATAAATTCATGCAAGAGCTAGTACATAGAGGGATTTCCAGGGGGAGAGAGGTAACAATAAAACGAAAACAAAACAAAAAGGTGGAGAATTGGAAAACACAAGCTTACCAACACACACAATGCATTCTATAGCCCATTGTACTTTGAGGCGCTTCTACTACTAACGTGTAAATGCATTGTTTCATCCATCTAATCAGGTCAAGGTTGGGCTTGATGACTTTAAAATGACAGTATATACTTCCATAGCACATACACTAACGTGCTATTGTTCTTCCATTTGTTAAGGGACAGAAGAGCATGGAAATCATTGTTTTAATTAGCAACATCAGGAAAAATGCTTTGGCATTAGCACTAAATATACTGTCCTTTTAACCGGAAGGAAAATTGATACTGAGCATGTGCAATGGAAAGAAAGCTGGCAAATGTCAGTGTGAATAATGGGTGAAAAAAAGGAATGAGGGGGTGTGGCATCTCAATCAAGATTAAAATGAAACTGATAAAGCAGCATATGGACTGGATAACAAATCAAAAGCATGTTTATCCACCGAAGGAACTGGTTAATGGAGACTGCCAGCACGTTGCCATGGAAACACTGACTGTTGAGCTGCACCATCTCATACCTTATCCAATACATTCCTGGTTGTTGGTAGTAGTCCAAAGACCCTGATCTCTTGATGGTAAACCCGTGGTCCAGCTGAGCAGAGAGAAATGGGGGCAACTCAGTGGATCAACATTGTGCTAAAGAATTAAGACTCCAGACCAAGCTGTTCTGCATTGACTACATATGTATCTATAGTTACGATGCCTCTTCTGCAGGGTAACTAGCTAATATCCTGAATCTTCACATCGAAAATAAAGAGGCAAGAAAAGGCACGAATCCCTCATGAATATCTCACAGGCCAATTTGCTAGAATAGATCTACTTTGTCAAACAATTTTTCGAATGCACATTTAATCGTGGCCTTTCAATTTCTAAAGATATAAACACCTCTTCACATGGCATAAAATGGAAAACGTTTTACAATTAAATAAAGTACTGAAATCAGCTTTAGCCACCTAAGAGAAAGCAGATTGGACCCCCAAGAGTATTACCCCATAAGGCTTAAATTTGAGGGCTTCATAACTATGAAATGAAAGAGGAAAAGAGTCAGGTTTTGGAACCCCACCCGTCACCGCAATTTGAATTTCTTTCTTATAGAGTTAATTCTTCAAAAGCAGAGCTACTCTTAAAGGTGAATCTTAATTACATTTCTAAACTAAAATGATATAATATAAAACAGTCAATAAAATTTCTCTATGAAAATATGGAAAATAAAATTAAATAAAAATAGTTTTCACTGTATATTAAAAATGCATATGTATAGTTAAATGCTTGTGATTAACAAAAAGGACAATAAATAGAACACAGGATACATTCTTAAAGCTGTTCGACCTGGAATAAGATATTAGCCTTTGGCTACCTGGGAATAAAAGATTCAACCCGAAAACCTGAAGAACAGTAATCATGTTGTATGCCCGCTTCCTCATTCTGCCCGTGACAGGATGCAACTTACACGCTTTTCTTTAGAAAGAGGCTCATGAGTTCTTTCAAGTGCGGTACTGGTGTGATGGTCATGACAGTTTCTACTTCTCAATTCACAAAGGCATTTCAAAAACATGCCAGGGCGCCAGGCATTTAGACTAAAAACTGCTTGGAGGATTTGGTGTTCTGATTATAAACTAGGCTATTCCAGGGCTCGTGGAAAGCAATGTGAGGTTGTAATCTTTTTTTAAAATGTGTGTTTTGTTTTATTTTGGAAAAAAAATCGAAATGCACTTGCTCTTAGGAAGATGAAGGTGCGCGCCTGTTTTAGTCCACGAAGACAGCTGCTTAGTAATTAGCTCTCTATTGCCATCTACAGGCAAAGTGTCATATACCAGGTCTCTCATTTTAGAACTAAGCTTCCCAGTATCACAATTATATGCATGCTGATTAGTATGGATTTGTTCAATTAGATTGAAATGCTCTATTTGCATGAGCAAAATGCAAAAGAAGAACTTTAAAGCATTAGGAAAATTATCAGTTAAAATAATAAACAGCATTAAATGAGGAAAAATAAATTGGAACTGACATCTTAGTCATCGGTTCTTCATCAAGCTCAGCAAATCTAATAATGCCTCTCTCTCCTCCCTCAGCTCTCAAAAAGTCCACCGTTAAAATGTCATCTCTAATCCATTTTATGTCTATAAATTGCATTTTAATAACCTTTTGTTTCCCTTTCTCTCTCTCTTTTTTTTTAATCCCCCAACTACTGGGAAAGGCAGCAGAGGGACAATGGCGTCTTCCTGAGAGGCAGAATGCTGCAGCTCTAAGGACAGCAATGGCTTTCCACTTAATCACATGGCTTGACCTAATGTCAGCGCACCTCTCCTCCTTCCAGGAGGGCGTGTGATCCCTGTGAGCTTCCAGCTGGTAATTACTCTCCTAGCCAACTGGAGGCCCTCTTGCAACCTTCAGATAAAGTTATCATTTGTCCTTTCTTTGGTCTTAATAATGTAGGGGGTGGGAAGCAGAGAAGGAAAAGAACTGACAACATGAGCAAAAACCACTTTGGTTCAGAACCATGAATACATGTTAAACTACACTCATAGAGTGTAGAGGCTGTTGGTTATGACAGTATACTATTTTTTCTTTTGTCATTCTAAGCTAGAAAAAGTGTCACAGATTTCTTTAAGATAGCGGCGATCTCCAGCAGGTAGT